ATGGGGTTCTTGGCAATCACTTCCCTAGGCCACATTGCAAAACCACAACAGTCCAGGACCAAAGCCCACCTGGAAGGGACCTGACTCTTGTCTCCTGCATCTACAAAGAAGTGTCCTGGCAGAGAGTGTGTGTCTCTCTGAGGCCCCATCAAGTGACTGTGGCTTCAGGGCAGCGGTAAGTGAGCTGCAGGATGAAATGGGAGCCCGGGACACAGACATACAACACTGACCAGGAAGAGCAGCCTCAGAGAGCGCCCTTCTCTGAAGGTCTGTGTGTGTGCATTGGGGGGACCCCAGAACACGTACAGGCTCAGGAAGCTGAAAAGAAGACCCTCTGATACCCATCTAAACTGCTCAACAATGCAATGAGCCACTTCAAGGGCAGGGAGTCACCCGTCACTGGGAATATTCAAGAAGGCGTGATAGGAGGGCTAAGGGTGCTTGCGGCCAAGCATGAAAACCAGAGTTCTGTCTCTAGGACCCATCTGGTAGAAGGAGAGAATTGGTTACTGAAAGCTGTGGCACTTTGCACCCCCCCACACACACACAAATAAATAAATGTAATAAAAAATACAAAGGAGTTGAAGGGTTCAACTGAGGTACAAGGGACTCAAGAGGTCCATGAAGTCCCTGAAAGTAGGGCTGTGCTTTTCTACAAGCCCCCCAATCACTTCTAACACTCTAAAGGGTCATGAGAATGCAGCGGTTCCTTGCCAAGTGGAAGGCCGTGAGAGGTACTTCAAAGTCTCTTCCACCTCCAAAGACTCCAGGAGGCCTGCAATCTCTAAGACTCCATGAAGCCTGCAATCTCTAAGACTCCGTGAAGCCTGCAATCTCTAAGACTCCGTGAAGCCAGGCACTTGAGACTCAGTGCTTCCACAGGTCAGTGGCTGACATACCTAAACTCCCATCCTACCTGTAGAACTCCCACAGTCCAAGCCTCTCCCAACCTCGGACCTTACACTCCCTCAGTCCTCCGGACACCTGGCTCCTCACCATTACAGAACGGATTGAGCTCATTCTTGCCTCAGGACCTTTGCATCTGCTGCTCTCTGGATACCCCAGCTCTTCTCGGCTCCACCTTTCCTCAAGAGTCTAAACACTAGATCTTCTAAAAACCTTTCAGGACTTCTTCTCCTGGCCTCAGCTTCCTCCTGGCCCAGGAACACACATGGTTCATGGAGTCACGGGGCCGAAGCAATGTGTCTACCTGTGTGAAGGGTGGTGGCACAGCCCCAAGCAGCTGGCTTCCTCCTTCACCTGTAAGCCTGCTTCAGACTTCAGTACAAGGATCAGAGGCCAGTTTCTGTCTACTTACAATCCTCTTCCCTATTCATTTCCCAAATGAGGATTCCAAGGCCCAGAGAAGTACAGCCCGCTCTGGCCAAGCATAGCTGTCTCAGGAGAAAGGTCAGCCTGTCTCATGGCTCACTAACTCCAGCACCTGGAACCCTGCCGGCACACAGTAGGTACTTAGTGGTTGCTGCAAACTCCTCGCACATAGTAGGTGTTCAAATGGCTGTTGCTGATTCTCAGTTCTTGGAAACCTGTCCACACATAGTAGGTACACAAGAGTCGCTTGAGGCCAAGTGAATACATGGTAAATAATCGCGGCTCCACTCCTCCGTGGTTCTGGGCCAGCAGGAGAGTACATGCACACCTCAGACTACATCAGCCCCCTCTGCCCATCCAGGTCTAGGAACTTAGGGCCCTCTCAGAAGTGGCTGCTGGAATGTGTTCTTGCCCCCGTGCCCAGTGGGATTCCCCACTCTAGCTTAGCTGGAAGAGATGGCATTGCCTTGGCCAGCCCAGCCTTGGTGTTTGCCCCAGAAGGCCCCTGCCCAGAACTGGGAGCAGGTGTGGGCTCAGGAAGCAGCTGCTGGCTCCGGCCTGGGCTCTGCCCCGCTGCCCACCGGGGGCCTGCCCACCAGATGCATAATAGATGAGGTGGCCCAGCGGGCTGTACCTGCTTGGCATTTCAGAGCTAATGAGGCCAGCCTGTGCCTCCTGCAGCAGTACCAGGCCCCAAGAGCTCTGGCTGTCTGAGGGCTGAAGGAGCCTCCTGAGGACAGGGGCCACCACCTCAGGCCGCCTCTCAATTCCTGCATCTGGAAGACTGTTTGAACTGACAGGCCTCATTCCTCAGTCGCTGACTTCCTGCCCTGGGTCAGCCACTAGTCCTCTGAGTCTGTTTCCTCATCTGTAAAGTGGGAATGGAAGTCTGCTCCAGAATAAAATAATCCAAGGGGAACCCAGGGCCTGCACAGTGTTGAGGGGACACATCTCGGTGGCAGGTGAGCCCTCCCTATGGAACACTCAGCACTGGCTCCTGTTTTGGGGGTACTTGGGGGTCACTTGCCTCTCTCTACCCTTCCCACAGCCAGACTCCTGTTTCTGGAGTTTCCATGCCTGACCAAGATCCCCTCTCCAGGAAGAAAGGGAGCTGGATTCAAATCCAGCCTCCACCAGCTGCATGACCTTTACCATACTCTGGCTAAACTGTGACCTGTGAAACAGAGGTCTTCTCTCAGGCCTATGTCATGACTGACCGAGGCCACCAGAATCATCAGCACCCTCTCTGTTGGGCTCTGCCTCTGCCTCCAAGGCTCCTAGTTTTACGGGTGAATCAACTGCTTTTTCTCACAGTTTTTCCCAGAAGCCTCTGCCATGAGCAAGTCCACCAGCTGCCCTAATACCTTTTATCTTCCTGCCCCTGTCTGGACCGACCTTAAATGCCCAGCCCCTACACCAGGATAGCTGGGCTCTTAGGGCTGCAGAAGCTGAATCACAGGTTCATTCCACGATATCCACCCGGCACTCGGTGGGACAATAGCTCTGCAGGGAACAGAGCCCTACTGATCTCGGACTCACACAGGTATAAGAAGTCAAGTCCTGGAGGAACTTCAGCACACCCCACTTGGAGGAGTACAGAGCCTGCCTCCTATTTCAGAGTCACGTGGACACGTTCAATGCCACAGAGGTTGCCGTGTAGAAACTTCCAACTCAACAAGCGTGCTGAGCATCAAGCGGTGCTCTGAGAGGGGACTGACCTGCCCAAGGTCCCCAACTAGAACATGGCAGAGGCGGATTCCACCCACACCTGTCAGCCTTCCCAATCCACACTCTTTCTGCTAACCAGGGAACAATCGGTAATGTGTGTGAGATAAACAGGGGGGCGTTCCAGGGAGAGGGAGGCGTGATGTGGGATTAGAAAAGAGCGCCCTCCCCCACCACCCAGCAGCTGAGGAAGGTGTCTGGAGGAAGCATGTGGGGAGGGCAGGGGAGACACATGAGCAAAACATCATGATGGTTCTAATCAAGTGTCCCTGGTGACCAGAGACGCAGGCCATGTGAGAAATAAACTCCTGCTCGAGAGGAATGCAGAAGCAAAGCACAGGGATCAGATCATGACTTGTGGAGAAGGCTGCCACTCACTAGGTAGGCTAGGTCAGGGTTGGCGGCAGGGGTGGGGTGGGGTGGGGCACACCCGGACTTAACACCTTGGACAGCGGCTCAAGCGCCGATGGGACAGGGCAAGGAATTGTGGGTAACAGGTGCATCCTGAGGTGTCAAGATCCTTACATCCTGAGAGGGTCAAAGCCAGACAGCTGGTCAGTTACTCTCAACCATGGCACCCTGTCTGTAGCTCTCGGTTCAGAGTGCTCGTCTGCGACAGCCTTGCATACCTGCCCCCATTAGAATCTCTCTGAGGCCTGGAGATCTCTCGACTCAGAGCTGAAGACAGATATGCCTGGAGGCAGCTGCTGGTCCCCATTATGATTCTACATCAGGTCAAAGTTCAAATCCCAACTCTGTGTGACCTTGGGCAAGTCACTTGTCCACTCTCTGTCTCATCTGTGCATAATTAGAGAGAACAGTCCCCGATGGGTGGTGTGGTCAACACATACCAAGTGCCTATCAGTCACAGCAGGTACCTGACAAGTGGCAGTTATTGGTGATTGAAACCTTGCAAGGGAACCGTCTGCCTCACCTGTTCATCTCCCTACCCTAACCCCTGCTCTGGGCACAACACACCACTTTGACTCAGCATGGCATCAGGAGCAAAGCTCAGAAAGAGAGAGTCACTGGCTCCCAACTGCACAGCTGGTAACAAAAGGAAATGAGAAAGCAGCCCCGGAGCTCAGCCTGGACACCCGTGCGCCTCCCGCATCCCAGGGTCCTGGGCCCATGGGGGCTGCTTAGAAATCTTAGAGCAACTGAATCACCGTGGGGTGTGCAGACCCCAGGAAGCCCCCAGCAGGGGCAGGAACCTCGAACGGAGGCTGGAGCCACCCGGGGGGCCTCCCTCTGGAGGTGAGGCCACTGCAGGAACAGCTGTCAGGGCCATGTGATGTTGGTGCCAGGGAAGCCAGGAGGCGCCCGCCTGTGGGGCATCAGGTGCCCAGTGCTGTGAGAATCCCGAGGTGATACGGCACCTCCACCCACTGCCTGGCACCTCTCGGTGTTGGGGAAGCTGCAGATGCCACCTCCTCCAAAGAGAGGGAGGCCTCAGACACAGGAGGTGGCTCTGGGGCTGGGTATGAATGGGACTAGAGCGTTTGGGGGTCAGTAAGAAGGCAGGCCACCACCTGCCCAGCTGGGAGCAACACCAGGGCAAGGACTGGAGAACAGGAAAGCAAGGAACTATTTGAATGAGGGCCTCTCACATGCCAGCCCAGGTTCGCATGCCTGAGTTCCCCGACATCACACTACTAAATAGACATCTATACCCCCATTTCCCAGATGAGAAAACTGAGGTTCAGAGAGGTGGCAAAACACTGGTGATCACCCAGCCAGCATGAGCTAAGATCTGACTCTGAGGCTGAGCTCCAAAAAGAACTGTGTGGGGAGAATATATGGGTTCTGGGGGAAAGGTCTCCCATGCCCTTCCTGGAGGGGCCGGTAGGTCTGATTTGTCATTATAGAGGGTAGGAATGGTTGGGGTGCCCCCAGGGAGCGGTCAAGGTAGCCAGATGCTCCTGAGAGTCCCCAGTACTCACCACACACTCTGATGCGGGGAGAAGGATTTGTCCACCCTGAAACACAGCAAGTGGACAGCCCATGAGGGAACATCCGTCGTGGCCCTGCAGGGCACACCAGACCCATTCCATTCCATCCTGCCCCCTGGTGGCCTGAGGAGGCACTGCTGCTAAAGGTACCGATGCCCTCCAAAATCCTATGTGTGACCAGACTCTTAAAGTCCGTTTAGACACCTGGGTAGGTGGGCTGGGGCTATGCAAGTAAGGACCAGAAGCTGGATTGGGGGTCTGGGGCTCAGGGAAGCAGGGAATATAAGTGTTGGCAGGGGTGGAGTCAGTAGTTCTGAGCCAAGCAGAGTAGGACTGTGTGGCTCCAGTTTAGGGTCAGCGCAAGGCTCTAGGAGTGTGGACAGGCTGGGAGGTAAGCGAGGTGTCTATGGCTTATGGTAGAATCCCACGATCATCTCTCCAAGTCCCACAGCCTTGTCCCAGCTCACATCCACCCGGGAACCAATCACCTGAGGACCTAGACAATCCTCCCCTCACTCCAACACATGTTCCTGCCTGAGTGCATGGGCACCCCCCACCCCCCGCCCAGACTGCATTCCCCGAGCCCTGTAGGCCCAGCCTAGAGGAGAGTGGGTGGGTAGGGCCTCCCCAGCTTCTCACCCCACTGTTCTCAGAGAGGGCACCTTGGGGTGGGGGAGCACTGGGGCCCCACCCTCCTTCCTAGCGGGGTTCCGCAGGACTGGGCAGCTGTTGGGGAAATAAACAACCCTTGCCTTCTGCCTGAGGCAAGCAGGGAGCAGAGGGGAAGGAAGCTGGGCTGCTGCGGCTGAGGTTGGGGTACTGAGCCAGGGTGCAAAGTAGATCCTGCTGGGGAGAAAGTAAGACTGAGAAGACCAAGGCTCACCCGAGGTCACAAAGAAGACCTTGTCCTCACCTTCTGGGCTGCCCCTGGATGTCATGACCAGGAAGCTCCCCCCCATCCCCACCCCCGCCCAGGCGCCTAGCTTTGCTTGACATCCAGGATCTCACCCCCAAAATGTGCTTCTCTGTCTGCCCACCCTGTCCCTCTGCAGGAAGTCCCCTCAGAGGCTGAGCAGCCAGGAAGAGAGCACATTGGACCAGAGCTCCCCTACACACAGCTACCTCATGGGGCTCTGACTGTACCCCACAGCACCACACCAAACCTGCCCTGTCCCTCGGGGAGTTAGGAGTTCAGGCTGGCGAAGGTCACGCAGCAGCCCCTTGGCTGGCCCAGGAAAGACCACTTGGCTTAGTCTGTGTAACCAGCTCCCTCTGGTTTGCCAAATCTCTGCTACTGGCAACAATCCCATCCCTCAGGATCCCTCAGGATCCCTCAGGATCCCTCAGGTGGGTGCTTAGGGTCAAGGAGGTAAGCCACCCTAAGATGGACCATATACTACTCTGCCCCCAGCCCTAGCCTCCAGGTCAAGCAGGAAATGTATAGGGTGGTTGGCTTCCGCAAGGTGAGGATGTCAGTGTAGGAGGGGGCTACTGATGGCTCCTAGGGACCAACTTCCAAAGCCTCAGTAGAGGGACCGCAGAGGCCTTCTGAGACTGTCTACCCCACCACGCACTCCTAGCCCTGTGCCCACCCAGTTGGCGCACACACACACACACACACACACACACACACACACACACACACACACGTCCAGGCATCTTGGCATCTTCCACACACTCACGCTCATGTTCATAGACACTGCAATCCACACTTACTCTCACCCCCACGCGTGCACGTGAACACCCAGCAGAGCACGCGGGAGCTCACTCGTCCCACTCACGACTTGGATGGAAGCTCGCCTCAGCCTCCGCAGCCCTCCCCACCACGGGGGGCCACCGCCCCCCAAGCAAGTCCCGCACGGCGCTTGCACTCGCACCTACCCTCCGTAGGCGCCAAAGGTGAAGCTGCGCTTCCGGCCGCTCATGGTGCCGTCGCAGCCGCCGCCCGCAGCCTGCCCAGCGCGGGGTCACCTTGGCAACGCCGCCCCGGCCGGACCGTGTGCGCCCCGGCCGCCAGCCAGCTGAGGCCCCGGCGCAGAAAGCGTCGCTTGTTCGCTCGGGGCTGTGGGACTTTCCGAGAGAGAGCGCCACCCCCACGCCGGCCGCCGCGCGGCCCCATCTACATAGCCACCTCCAGTCCTCCCCGGGGAGAGGTGCCAAGGGTGTCCCACTGGGAAAGTTGGGTCAGCCTGGCTTCCAGGGCGATGAGATGCTGAGTTAACGCGGAGACAGACCACGCAGCCCATAAGTCTCCCGGCTGATGCCCTGGGGCCTGTTCCGCAGGTCAGAGAATGAGGGACCCTCCTGTTGTCTCAGCTGAAGCCCCCTCAGGACTCTCAGCACGATCCTTCAGCATGCATGAGGGATCCTGGGCTAGGTTAGGAAATACGTCTAGGATCGCTCATACATCCACCTTTGGGGAACAAACAGGGTTGAATCCTAAAGTCCCCTCATATTCACTCAACAAACACAGTAGTTCTCTCCTCTACACACACCCAGCTGGCCTAGCGCACCCGCACCGCTCAGACACTCCTGGAGACACCAGCTGACAGAGGGACACAGTCCCTGTTCTGGGACTCACTGTCCCTCCATCCGTGACCCCCCCCCCCATGCTCCCTCACCCCTGTCCAGGGAGGCCCCAGGAGCCCTGGGTGTTTCTGTGGAGTTTTCTCTTTGCGGGGACTTCAGGGTCTAAGGCCGTAAACAAAGAGTGAGAAGGGCCCACCAAAGGAACAGGGCCAGGGGGCAGGGATCCTCAGAAGCTTTTACTGAGCTGGGGCAAGGCTAGCTCCTTCATCTCTTGGGAAATGACAGCTATGACTGACGAGGGTCTAGACTGCAGTTTGCTTCACCCAGACAGGGCTGGGCAGGGCTGGGCAGGGCTCATGGCAGTGACTGAGCCAGCTGCCTCAGCCCTGCTCCACCCCTGCCCCTTTGCTCCAAGCTCAGATGAGTGGTGGAGCCCTGAGGAGGGGCCTGAAGGGTTCAGAGATGGGTTTGAGGCCACAGAACTCTTGCTTTGGTTTTCAGCTCTGGAGGTTTTCAGTCTGGCTGCCTCCTGGCCCTCTTGGCAGGGGACTCAGAGTGGGGTTGGGGGTTGAGGAGACTGCGCTGGACCCCAGCTGCAGATGCTGAAGAGGGAGAGCGTGAAGAGGGGCACTCTGTAAGCGGCGGTTGGGTGGGGCTGGATAGTGAGGGGGGCGAGTGTGGGAGCACCAGAGTCGTCCACTGAGAAGAGAACAACCCCCCCCCCTTGTGTGGAGAAGCAGGGTTTTCCAGGGAGGAGTTGGAAGGGGCAAGAGGACCTGGATCCAGCCTAGGCAGTATGTGTGTGCTGGGGGCTGGCTCGCCCTTGGCTCACCCAGGACTCCAGCCCTTTCTGGACTGCATTTACCCTGCAGCACGGGCTTCAGCCTCCCTAGGCTCACCGAAGGGGCCAATTCCTGAGTGGGTTCTGAATGCCCAGTTGGCAGGCTGGCCAAGGAGCTGCCAACACGCCAAGTTTCCCAGCTGGGCCCGGCCCCAGGAAGGCCCCCCTGATGCTGGGACAGAAGGCCCTTGAGATGGGCCATGGGGGCTGCAGGGTTCCCACCGAGGACAAAGAGCCCAGTGTGGTCTCCGGCCTCTGAGCTCTGCCCAACTGCAGCTGCCTTGTTGGCAAGAGATGGGGGTGGGACAATGGTCAGTGAGGTCATGTTCTCTCAGCCACAGATGTGGAGGGCACTCCATGGCCAGCCCCTGGCCCCTCAGGCCAGCAGCCATTAAATGTACCCTCTTAGCCTGCAAGACTACCTACAAGAATTCACTCTTTTATGTCACAGCTTGGGTACTGAAGATGAACAGCCAAGGACAAGGGATGGGGAGACCTGCATCCTGTGGGCTCGCCTAAGGTTCCAACCAAGCCTTTCTCATCCGTCTGCTGTGTGACCTAGGGCAAGGTGCTTAACCTTTCTGTGCCTCAGTTTTTTCATCTGTAAAGTGGGGCTGGTAATGAAGGTGTTAATTATTCAAACAGTTTGACTGCCCATAAATTAAACTGCCAATCCTAAAGCACCGGGGATCCTGCCTGGCATAGTGTGTGTGTGTGGTAAATAAAACCTTCATTGCAGCATGATTTGGAGGAGGCTTAACTACATGAGTTTGCCTCATTCTACAAGGATAGCAAAGAATTACTAGTAAACTAACTAACTGGCCACCCAGACGGAGATGCAGGGCCACACAGCTATGAGAAAGGATGGGCCAAGTGTGGTAGCCATGCCTGTAATCCCAGCATTCACACTCGGGAGGCAGAGGGGGGTGGATCTCTGTGAGTTCAAGGCCAGCCTGGTTTACACAGCCAATTCCAAGCCAGCCAACACTACATAATGAGACCCTGACTCAATTAATTAATTAATTAAAATACAGACCCAGGCATGGCAGTGCACACTTCCATGTGTCTCAAGAAAAGGGTGGGTGGGGCTGGGTGGGGCTGGGGAAATTGCTCAGTGGTTAGAGCACTGGCTGCTTTTGTAGAGGACCCTGATTATGTTCCCAGTATCCACATGGTGGTTCACAACCATCTGTGACTCCAGTTCTAGCAGATACAAAGCCCTCCTCAGGCCTCCTCAGGCACCAGGCTGCATATGTTACACATAAATACATAAATGCATACATGCATACATGCAGGCAAAATACTCATACACATAAAATAAAAACAAAACTTTAAAATACTGTTGAAGAATGAGGTAAATCTGTGCAAACACACAGAACAGACTCCAAGACAGACACACAGAGAGACAGCGTGACAAGGGACCCATATCAGCCACCACAGACCACCGTGACAGGGAGTGGTGCTTGCAGGCTGGCTCTGGGGAATGGCGGCTACACGTGTCAGAGTCCCCTTTCCTTGGTCTCTCACCTAGAAAAGGAACTGCAGGCTGGGAGTAGCACTCACCTAGCATGCATGAAACCCTGGGTTCACTCTCCTGCACAAAACAAAGCCAGGCATCAGGCTCACATGTGGTGGTGCATGTCTTGGATCCCAGCACTCAAGAGGCAGAGGCAGGTGGATCTCTGTGAGTTCCAGGCCAGCCTGGTCTACATAGCCAATCACAGGCCAGCCAACACTACATAGTGAGACTCTGTCTCAATAAACAAATAACAGAGCCAGGTCTGGTGGTATACACTTCTAATCTCAGTACTAGAGAAGTGGAGGCAGGAGGGTCAGGAGTTCAAGGTCATCCTCAGCTACATGAGATCCTATCTCAAAAAGAAAACAGAGCCAGGCTGTTCTCCATGGCCAGCCTCCTTCTGGGAAGAAACCTCCTGTTCTAGGCCTCCTGAATGTGCACCCAAGTTAAATGAACGCATTCCAAACCGGTGAAGAAGGGAAGGTGCATGGGCGCAAAGTAGTTCCTTTCCCAAGCTCACCCCAGGCTGAACTCTGAGCATCCTGCCCACCTGCCTTCAGCACGCCCTTGCCAGCCCTCAGCAGGGAACCGGAGAATAGAGCGAAAGGCAAGCCCTGGGAAGATCCCAGGCTGGGCTCCGCATGCCACTCATGGGCTCTTGCCAGGGTCCCCAAACAGCCCCTTCCCCTTTAAGTTATTCCCATGCAGGGATACGCTCAGAGCCTCCTGGGCAGGAGACATGGCAGGTCTGGGCTCCCTGCCCTGGCCTTGGCAGCTCCTGAGTGGCTTGGCTGGAATCTGTTTCCTCCCAGGGCTCAGGTTTGCTCATGTGTTAATCAATCTCCCTCACACATACATGCACACCAATCTCTTTCTCGCCAGCCTAAAGGCCCAGCACTGGCAAAGTACACTCGCCTAGGAAGAATTTCGCCGGCCATGGAAGCACCCTCACCCTTCTAGCCCAGTGACATCCATCCGGTCCCAGGAGCTGTGATCTAAGTTCTAAAGCATCAGGGTTGGGATATCCCCTGGGGAGGGAGGAGGTGTGGCTCAGCTCACCCTCCCCAAGCAGCTGCCAGTGATGCCTCTGTTGTCCTGGTTCTGGTATGGAGCATCAGCATAACACACTCCCTGGAGGACCCGAGTACACATCTGTACACAAGGTTTCCCAGGTCCACATGCACTTGAACTTGTACAGAGCACACATACAGATGTCTAACTTGTGCCTAGACAATAGGTGTAGACCTGCTCACATGGAAGTCAGCCCTCATGCTGTCAGCTCACATGCACACACACGTGCCAAGGTCAGATGAAGTTTACTCGCCTGAGTCACAAATCTAAGCGTGCTCACCTACTGACTGTGGCTAGGTTTGCACACGCACAGGACACACAAGACCACAGATCTGAGCACAGAAATCGTATCTTCTAACTACGGTTGTCTTTCACTTATACAGTGTGTGTACAGACATGTCCACACACGCATGGCTATCTTATGTGGTAACCAGCAAACTGTTGGGAAGAAATGAGATAAAGAGAATGGCCCTTCATGAGTCAGAGATGTGTGTGACCAATCATGGCACCCCTGAAGAGAATACAGAGGGAGGTCAAGGCCACTGTCCTGTGGGACAGCAGGGACCCATTTAGCCTCCCTATCTCTGCTAAGTGTATGACCTTCCTTGCCCATTTTCAGGGCAGTTGGTTAAAGCCCCGGTATGTACCCACAACACCTACCAGGGCGGCAGGCTGACTGAGCCCTGTTTCCTGGGCCAGGAGACCTGGATCTAGCCCCCAGATCTGCGAGTCACTTGTTATTTCCCAGAAGAAGCCCCTTCCTATTCTGGCCTCTGCTGGTTCACGTATAAGATGAGGGGGGAGCACCCTAACAATTCCCAAAACATCGCCTTCCACACAGTCGGCCAGTCTAGGACCCAGTAAGCCTCAGCAGAGCAACAAAGCTCCCACCTTGGCTGTGGTTCCCAATGAGGACAACTCCGCCCCCGAGAAGCATTAGGGAAATAGAGGAAGGTGGTTTTTAATTTAGCAATTACTG